ACCTTGCTGTTTGCTGCAAGGAAGCAAATTGCGCAGAGGCAGATTTTTTTTTTCTTGTTTTTCTCCCCAAGAGCTAGGTGTGTCTTATACTTCGGAGTGTCTTATAGTCTGAAAAATATGGTAAGCATAAAAAAGTTAGCAAATTGCTTCTGATACAGAATGGGGGAACATTGCTTATATTCTTTTATAAATGACTTGTCCCATTTATTTCTGCTTTATGCTTTTCATTCTTCAATTATAGTCATACCATACTATTATATTTGGAGCTCTTTAATGAAAAGTTAATCCATAGCTTTTACTACTGGGGAAAAATACTCTACTCATGGTGCAGCTGGGCAAATTCATGGTGGTAGTTCAACAAGATTCCTCTGGTCAAAATTCTGAGCATAAAACTGCAGTTGGTGTCTTTATCAAGTTTCCTTAATCTTCAGCAAAAGATGTTTACACAATTTCTATAATTTTAAACAAATTAATTATTCAGTTATTCATTCAAAAATACTCATCATTATTAAACAAGATTACAAACATCTCTAGTTTTAAAAATAAAGCTATACAAAGTCTTAACCAAAATTTTAGCATTTTTTCAATTCATTTTTCAAAATACATTATGTTAGTAATTTTTACATTTCTTTCATCTCTTTGTATTATGGTGCATCATTGAAGAAACCTCAAGAGAAAATGAAATCGCATTATTTTCTCTATATTCTGTTCATCATAGCAAAATATCACAATTACACATCTTTAATTTCTTACAAAAATCTCATTAAAATGTAGTCTACATTAACTTCACTTTTTAAACCCACATACTTAACAATAGTCAAAATTAATATTATGCTCAAATGTTTTCTATGTCAAAAAATAATCATTATTCATAAACTTCTGTCAAGATTTATTTACTCATTTATTTTTTGGGAGGGGGGTATGCACCATCTTATTGTAAAACATTTCTGTTACAAAAATCAACAACCCTTTGGGATAAGATATAGTTCAAATATCAGTCTGAAAATTTAAGGTCACATCTTCCCATTTAACCTTTGCTTGGTTTATGTTGGTAAAACTGAAACCTTTCGTTTTCTCAAATTTCAAAAAATATTTATTTTAAAACATTATATTTTGGGTTTTAGCTTTTAATACTAAATCAGAATCCTCACAAGAAATTTCCTCCTGCATTTTTTCTTTCAATAAAAACAGGAGACTTAAAACATAAGTATTTATAGAATGTCCTTTTTATCTTTAATTTCCATTTTATATTTTACAATCCACATTAATTATATAAAACTTAGCTTTTAAGGATCATAACAATATTTTAATAATTCCATTTATAGAAATGTGATTTATTTAAAAAAACTGCATAATCACACGCACAAAATAAAATTGAAAAATCCAAAACTTTGTCTTGTTCTAAAAGCTAAAATCCCAAATGATTTTTTAGTCCAAACTAACTTCTGAAATATTGAAAAACAACAGGAGATAAGACTTCATGATTGAGGGAAAACACTCTTCAATTTAAAGATTAATACATTAAATAAAGTGCTTACAAAATAAGTCAGGTTTAGTGTTTGTTTGTCCTGGCTGAACTACAGCATTTAACTTGAAACCCTACCTCCCAACTGGTCATTCACCAGCAATCATAAAAACATCCTTTTTGTGACCTTTCAAGCATCAGCTGTCTGGAGGTTATACGAGTTGATTTTTTTGTTTTATCTTATTTTTGGATTCTCCTTACATCTAGGTAATTATCCAGGCTTCTGAAAATCTGCCTGGACCCCAAAAACTTAACTCAGCCTGGACTGCCACTTCAGGGAAGCTCTTTAACCCATCATTTCCCCATCAGAAATTACAAAATAAAATTTAAATATGAGTTTAAGGACTGTAAAAATAAACCTTTAATATAAATATATACATATATTTATATTATGTGTGTGTGTGTGTACACAAACACATACATACATACATACATACATACATACATACATACATTATATATAATGTACAATCTCAATCTTACACAGGAAAAGACCCAAATACAACAAGACCAGCATATTTATATAAATATATATTTATTTACACACAGAGAGAGAGAGAGCAAAAGGGTAATTAGAATGCAGATTTTGAAAAGCTACAAATTGACTAGAGGTCAAGATATATTTTAAATAAGATTTTGAAATAAAATGTAAGAATCCCTTGGGAAAATTCTTTTGTTTTGAATTCTTTAAAAACACATGATGGTGGGACTTTGAAGGTTGGACACTAGAGGGAACCAAAAGAACTGAAGTTTAATTGTAGAAGAACATATAAATTTGAATTAATACAGAAAATCCTTTTAAAATTGGATGTAATGAAGGTTATTTGTGAACACTGGACTCCACAGTTAATTTTAAGAGTGTCTGCCATTATAAACACTTTAAAAAAATATTGAAGAGGAACAAGATTTACCTGACAAGATTGAGACTAATCTGAAAATGGATTTAAAATTGGGGGGCTACAAGAACAATATGATATGAATGATATGAAAAAAAATAGCTGGATATATCAAAGAAACTGGCTGATGTCTTAGTAATTAAAAGGGATATAGAAATAACAAAGAATGACTTGGATACTTGTACTTTATTGGATATATAAAAGAAAACTTGTTGAAATTATGAAGAAATTTAATGCAAACAGATAAAGTAAAATGAATGTAAATCATGTTCTAGGATCATGATAGCAAACATGGTACGCATATCATAGGTGGCACATGGAGCCATATCTGCCGGCACGCAAGCCATCAGCTCCAGCGTGCATGTGCACGCTGGCCAGCTGATTTTTAAATTCTAATAAATTCTAATTCTAATTTTTGACCTTCCAGAGGTTCAGGGGAAACCATTTTTGTCCTCCCCAGGCTCCAGGAAAGTCTCCGGAGCCTGGGGCGGGCGAAAAACGGGCCGAACCGGCCAACCAGAGGCTTGTTGGGCCTGTTTTTTCTCCTCCCCAGGCTCTGTGTGGTCATGCACGCATGCATGGGGAGCACAAGTAAGCAGGGTGCATGGCATTGTGGGTGTGGCACAATTTTGACACGTGTTTACAAAAAGGTTCGCCATCACTGTTCTAGGACATTTTTTGAAGGAAGGGATTGAAAATCAAGATAGTTAAAAGTAAAAGGAAATTTAAAGTTAGTTTTTTTTCTTTCCGTATTTTATTTTCTTTCTTTTGGTTTTTATTTTATTTTATTGTAATGTTTAATAACATTATTTTAAAAAATTGTAAGCATCATTCTTTGCATTTTTCCTCTCCTAAGGGGAATACCCTGTTAACATTTCCTATATTTTGAGAATTTAGTATCACTTGTGGAAGGAGGCTATTTATTGGTCTCTATATATGTTTGTAAGTTTTTCAAAGAAATATTTTTTCCCTTGGATTGCTTGGTGCTGTGATTGGTAAGAAAATACAATTATTGCTCTTGAGAAAGAACGGGAGGCAAAAGTATGAAAAGAATGTTGTTGGGAAACAGAAAACTCCAAAATACAAAATAAAATCATGGAAAATTAAAAGAGATTAGCAGATGGGAACTGAAGAATTGACAGTAAAATTAAATAATCCAAAATATGATAATCTGACTACACAGGTGCCACAATTTGCCAGAGCAGCAGGGTTTGTGGCTTTCCACAGTAAGACATATGGAAAATTATGAAGGATGATCTATTGTGTTATAAAAGGACACTTCTTATTAGCTGAACTACAGATATGAGAAATGTTCATACCAGTGCTAGATTTAGTATAGATACTGCATTTTCAAGAATAATGAAGAAAATGGCAGCATTGGACAGGGAACATGAAATTGTTTAGTGGACATTTTTGTCTTACAGCTTGAAAAAGAATGCTAAAAAATTGATTAAAAGATCTAATAGAATTTTACTCACGCATGTTGGAAGCACTAAGGATTAGCTAGGAACATCACTCTTGCCCAGGGGATGCCCAGTTGGGGACTCCTTGCACCTCCCCATCAATGTACCCACTGAAGTGGTGCCTATCTACTTGCAGTTGCATGCTTTCAAACTGCTAGGTCAGCAGGCGCTGGAGCTCATAGAATTTTACTGTATTTAGGAAATAATTTAGAAAATATATTTTTCCCACCAAAACATGGCTGCATAAACTTGTGGGCAAGTTACTGCATTCATACCTACACACATCCTTAAACATAGTCACAGAAAGTGTCTGGGCACTAAACTGTCAAAAAAAGAACAAATTATAATACGGTATTCAAATAAATGTAATTCCAATAGCTTAAGAAGAAGAGAAAATGTGAATGCAAATAATAATAGAATAGATTTCTACTCCTGGGTTTCCTAGAATTTATAAAATAGCTTACTTTATAATTGCTTAATAGTGACTGCTTTTGGAAGAAATATATTTGATGATAAATTATGCTAAAAGTTGTTGAGGGTGTATAGGTGTCCTAAGGAAATGTACCGGCACATTGATGAAATAATGTAGACACCAATTAGAGAGATTTATAAAACACATTTTAAATTAAACCAACTCTATATACGATTAGTGTGGATAGATGAGGTACAGTCTTGAACACTGATGATACTTAACTGTACTCAAAGTTGAGAGTCTCAGGGGAACATGTTAGATAAGGTAAAGTTAGTAGGGGCAGCATAGGAATCTTGGGAGAGAAGACAATAGCTTCTCAAAAGATTGCCATTGATCAAATAAGTGACCACCAAGAACTGAATTATATTTCCAGGTTTCCCATGCCCACTCTTCATGAATTTAGCCTCTTTCAGTCATAAATTTAAACTTCTAGTTGCTAAAGTTTCAGAAGTTCAGTGTCTCTCAAAATTCAAGATATAATTCTTTTTTTAAAAAAGAAAAAAGATTGTTATATGTGAAAGCATGTATGTGAGATAGATGCAACCTAATTGGCAGTTGATCGTTTACCGTTTCTTTATGTAGCTGTTGTTTACTATTAAGTTATTATCATTTACTATTAATTAATTTTTGTTTACTGTCTACAGGTATCAAAAAGTATGTTGTTGGCTTAATTATCAAGACCTCCTCTGATCCAACATGTGTTGAAGTGAGTAAAAGTTCCTTGGGGATACAAAGATGGTCCTTGTAAATTAAATAGGATATATCTTAATTTCTTTATTTTTCTCCCTTATCCTCTCCCTTCTCCCTCATTCAGAAAGAGAAAGTATACATTGGGAAATTGAACATGATTCTTGTTCAGGTGAGTCGAATTTCTGGTCTTTATACATTATTTAAGTCTGGAGTAATAATTGTTCACTATATTCACTTTTCATATTTTTCAGATACTAAAACAAGAATGGCCAAAACATTGGCCAACATTCATCAGTGATATTGTTGGGGCCAGCAGAACAAGTGAAAGCCTTTGCCAGAACAACATGGTCATCTTGAAGCTATTGAGTGAAGAAGTCTTTGATTTTTCCAGTGGACAGATAACTCAAGTGAAAGCCAAACATTTAAAGGACAGGCAAGTGATTAATATAAGGAGTATACCAGAAATGCAAGTTTGAATTGTAATTAAAAACAAATAAAATTCTCCACCTAATGTCAAAGATCCTTGAACATAAGAAGGTGGTATCAGTTAAGATACATTTTATTGAATTGTGTTCCTTGATACCAAGAAGCCATTACTTCCCATTTCCTCTGTCATAGTCTCTTACTTTCCTGTGCCAAAGAAGATACATGCCAGACAACTCCATAGTAGCTGAGCTGCCTCACTTAAAAAATGCTGAGCCTTGTTCTATTTTGTCCAGAACTTCCTACCTCAGCAGTCATTCTGCATCTTTGGTGAAGTGCAGAATTTCCTTTGGTGATTCTGCCAGTTTTATCTTTACCTTTTCTTTTTTGGGAGAAAAGGGCTAGTAAAGTTTTTAGATTAACAGCTGGAGATTTCCAGTTTCTTATGGATATACATAGACTGTTGAATTTCTAATCAATGTTTTTGTTTTGAATATATTTATAAGGGTTTGATAAGTGTCCTGTTGTCATTTAACTGTGTTTGTATTTTAAAGTTGTGCTGTAGAAATTGTTTATTTTTAAAAGTAGTTTAAATGTTTATTATATCATTTAATTCATATTTAGCAATTGAATTGGTAATAATATGGCATGATAATACAAACAGCTAGAGAAGAACCCCTCATTTCATTAGGTGCTGAAGGGCCCCTCATTTCACTAGGTGCAGTGGGAGTGGACAAGATACTAGGAGTTCTCTGTTGGGACTTCCCTTCTTAGTAACAACTTGCCCATCCAGGGTGAGGGTGATTCCCATTCATGAGCTCCTGGATGCTTATTCCAAAAGCCTTTGGGGATTGATTAATGTTATCATTATATATATATCGTTTGAATGGAAATAAAACATTCAACTGTCCCCATACATCAAAAAATACTGTACATGGGGTGTACTTACTTTCTCACACAACCATAACTTATGCATTAATATCTACATTCCATCTTAGTCCTAAATACTAAGGTGGTAAATGAACTGTCTAATACTAAACCTGATTATTTTCTCTTGCTACTAGCATGTGCAATGAATTCTCACAGATATTTCAGCTATGTCAATTTGTGATGGTAAGTTTTATAATATAATTGTTTATAAGATACCACTTCACAATATAGGTGGATTTTCTCACATATCATTTTATTAACAGGAGAACTCTCAAAATGCTCCTCTTGTTCATGCGACATTGGAAACTTTACTTCGATTTCTCAACTGGATTCCACTGGGCTATATTTTTGAGACCAAATTGATCAGTACATTAATATACAAAGTGAGTACTTGCTATGTGTAGATTAACTTACTGAGAACAAAAATTATATCTTGAGTTTGCCTAATAAATAAGACATTGCCGCTTATGTTGTTTTTTCTTCTTTTATAGTTTTTAAATGTTCCTATGTTCCGAAATGTTTCTTTGAAGTGCCTAACAGAAATTGCTGGTGTCAGTGTGAGTCAGTATGAGGAACAATTTGTCACACTCTTTACTTTAACCATGATGCAGTTGAAACAGGTAACTTTCACATTCAACTATTGATCTTTTCTATTTGCCTGTTAAATAAATAGCAGGTTTCCTTATATATATATCCTGCTCATATTGAATAAGCTGCTCTTGGCTTGTTTAAAAGCATTTCCCCTACAGAAGTCTTCTTTTTTTAATTCTGACCAACTGCAAAGGCTTTAATACACAAGTACACATTAATAAGTATACAAAATGTTAAGTGTGTGGTAATACATACTTTTTTAGATTAACAACTGGAGATTGCTAGTTTCTTATGGATACACATAACTGTTATGTTGAACTAATTTCTAATCACTGTCTTTGTCTTGAATATATTTATAAGGATTTTATAAGGGCTGTATTTAGACTCAAATCTTGAAAGGAGATAATAATTAGCTCTGGGCTAGACTTTGATGTAAGACCTGAGGTCCTTTTGACCCCAAATGCTTCAGAGTGTAACTCCTAATTGAATTTATATGCTGTTAAGTTCCTATGCCATTCAGAAAAGTCAGGACTGTCATTCAAAATCTTTTATGAATTTATTTTTCTATCCCACCTACCATTTGGAACTACTTTATTTACTTAATTATTGCTATTACTACTTTCTACTACTACTAGAAAATATCTTATAGCCATGTTTAACCACAGATTGATAGCTTATTAAGTGCAGTTCCTGCTCACATTCTGCTGAAATTCTGACATTGGAAAATCTTACCTCGGACTTTCGTAGCATCTGGTCCACTTAGAAGTTCTCCTGGTCTCAAAGATTGATGTAGCCATTCAGGAAATTTTACAGAGTGTCCCAGACTGCTTGCTTAGATAGAAGAGACATAAATTTACAAGAGCATTATGTCATTTTAGTTAAATAATCAGAAATGTATTGGTGTTGATGCACAGAGTTATTTTATTGATTGAGTTTGCTTGTGTGCCATTCACTCCCGAAGGTTTTTGATAGCTAACTTTGACCATTTATAAATATATAAAATAACAATCATATTCATATAAAAAATGTAAACACCATGTTCCAGTGAACCTCAGCTGCAGTTAGAATACCCTTCTTCCATGAAATTAGAAAGGATTTTATTAAAATCTAAGCGGGATATAGTCAATTGAATCTCTTTGACAGGAAGAAGTTTAAAAGAGCAATGGGCTACTGAAGGTTGCTGATAGGTCCAAAATTGTCCAAAACAGTCAGATTAAGCAAAAAATTCCTGATTAATTGTGAAAGGAACACTGCTTATTTAAAGAAGCATTGATTACTGACTGGATGCAATCTCCTGCCAATTCATGGGAGGCCTTAACCAACCGTGAAGATCTCATCCACTTGAGACTCTCCGACATAATTCTAATTCATAAGACAAGACCCCCATCATCTCTACGGGTGCTGTCCAGCTGGAATCCAGTTCTCCTCATGTTTATGAGTGGTTTTGTCTGCCAAATGCTGCAAGAATTCTTCACAGTGTTTTTTCAAATGGTCTTGATGAATATTCTTCTATTGAAGTCACCTTAAAAAAGCCAAAGGGTAGCATTAAGCCAGTGCCATAACTAGCAAAATGCTTTCTTTCTGCTGCTTGAATCACCTCTGAATATACACCAATGTAAGTTCATGCTTGCACAGATCAGACTGCCTCCAGGGACATTCAATGCATATCTACTACTCAATTTTCCTTAACTGCTCAGTAACCAGTGAGCTGCAATGAACATACAAACAAAAAATGCCTCTCCATTCAGTCCAACACTATGCAGACATCTTTATTCCAGGAGATGACCAGAATTTCATCTGAAAAACCCACCAAATCCTTGAGAAAAGACCTCTTAAAAGCCACAAGATCCATAAAACAGCTGTAGCAGACTGATTTAATAGGTGCTCCTCTATTGCAGGGGGGAGTCGCAGTACAAAATTCCATAGCATAGTGTGAGATCTCTCATGTGTCAATGCCATGGTTGCCATAGCAGCCATGAATTCCAGAGCCACTCCAGATCTGCTGAAGAAACTTAGGTTCCCATTACTATATCTGGGAAAACTTATCAACAATCAAGTTAAGCAGCAACAGTAATGCATACAAGCAGCAAACCAAATTGGGGTCCCTAGCCCAGCCGAATATATTCCAAATATCTTTAGTGTAGCACATCTTAAGTCTGAGATTACAACTTCTCCCTACCTGCTGCTTCTCCAGGAACTGCATCTATTGCAAATGTCAAAAATCAGGTGAACAGATTTCCAACAGGGAAACATGTCATCCTCTTGCACTCAGAAAGTACAGTAAAAGGATTTGTTAATTGCTCAAAATCAGCCTTAACGCTACATCTTTGAATAGTATACTATCTTCAGTTGAAAATACATGTGGGACTTGCAGTTAAATTATTTATAGCTTCAATCCAAAGAAAAGTAAATCAGAATATTTAAGCAAAGCTTTGTTACAGTAAGTGGAAGTATTAGTTGTCATTTCTGAAGGCCAGTCTTGTATATGTATGAGAACTTCCATGAATTTCTCAGATGAAAGTTGTGTTAAGAAGTAGTTTATAACTCTAGGGCAGCCTTTCTTAACGGGTTCTATGGGAGGCTATAATTTAAAAAATACATTTTTTGACCTTTATACACTGCAATGCTAGTGCTCAAATTTTAATGCTCTGACACTTGGTGGCAACCTGCTGTTTTGCCATTGTATTTTTTGTAAAACAGATTAGAAGTGAATTGTATGTTCAAGTTTTCATATTTTTTGCAAATTTTATGTAAGGATTTATTGAAATCAGAATTTTTTTTCAAGGGTTTCTCCAAGATAAAAAGGTTAAGAAAATCTGTCGGGAATAAATACAATGTAATGTCTTCATTTATGTATGTTTTATGTAATACACAAAAATAAAATTATTAGCAGGACTTAACTTTAAGTTCAAGATTATAACTATATTTTACTTTCTTAGATGCTTCCTTTGAACACCAATATACGACTGGCATATTCCAATGGAAAAGATGATGAACAGATTTTCATTCAGAATCTCAGCTTGTTTCTCTGTACCTTTTTAAAAGAGCACGGTCAACTTATAGAAAAACGTTTAAATCTCAGAGAGACGTTAATGGAAGTAAGCTCCTTTTTATTTTTATTCACACCTATGTCAAATTGAAGATGTGGAGTTAAATTTACTTTATTGTCATTGCACCTTGTACAATGAAATTAAATTCCATCTTCAAGTGTACATTATAACTATAAAAATAAAACACAAATACACATCCTTCACATTCTATACAATTGAATTGAAAACCTGATACTGCATTCGTATTGCACTATACAGTAGAATTCAATATTGTTACTGCCCTGGGATAGAAGCTGTTTTTCAGTCTATTTGGTCCTTGTTTTTATTATCCTGTACTGTCTGCCAGGTGGTAAAAGTTCAAAAAAACGTTGCCCAGGATGAGATGGATCTTTAAGAATGTTTTGAACTTTCCTAAAGCTCTTCCAAAGAGGGGAGAGGGCAACCAATGATCCTCTGAGCAATGATGTTAACTCTCTGGAGCACTATCCTATCTGCCACTGTGCAGTTGGCAAACCATGCACAAGTGCAGTAAGTTAAAATACTTTCTATGGCGCAGCAGTAGAAGGTCACCAGCAGTTTTTCATTCGGTTATTGTTTCCTGAAAAGACTCAGTTAGTATAATCTTTGCTGGGGCCTTTTGACTAGTGCTGCAATGTGAGTGCCCCAGGTCAACTCTTCTTTTATGATAACACCCAGAAACATAAAACTGGCCACTTGCTCCACTTGGTCTTTAAGCACTCGGTCAGAGATACCAGCAGGACTGGCAACCTTTTTAAGGTACACAGCTCTCAGAATGCTCCTCATCTCCTGTTTGTCCACAATTAGGTGGGGGCTACAATGAGCTGGTGGTTGTATTTTAGCTGTCTCTGATGTCTCCACTTCAAAGTGAGCAAAGAAATGATTCAGCTCCTTTGCCAACAAAGTATCCCCCTCAGCACGGATGGCATTGGTCGGTTGATGATTGGTAATTTGTTGAATCCGTTGCCACACCTGCCTCATGTTATTACTATAAAAATTATCCTCAATCTTCCTCTTATAAGCAGTCTTGGCCTTCCAAATACCTTCCTTCAGACTGGCTCTGGCAACACTGTATCTTGCCCCCATCCCTGGACCTAAAGGCCTTGGTCCTGTCACACAAGAGGCACTGGACTTTCTTTCTTTGGAGAACAAATACGAAAACTTGGTTTGATGCAAGATGTAAAATAGACCAATTGAGTATTTCTATTCCATTTTAGTTTATCTTTCTATCTCATAAGTTTGATTAAAAGTATATTGAGAGGTGGGAGTCAAACATGATGGCTGTCCAACTGTGAGTAGGAAATCTGATAAATCAATGCCTCAAGCATTCTATCAACTACGAAATTGTTCCAATCTAGATATTTATATTCTATCCGATCAGTGCAGGTACTGTAACTGCATAACAAATTGTAAAGTTTTTTTTTTAATCTGGCTGTCACCTTTTTCTTTTTTAAAAAGATTTTTATCTCTCAACCTTTCAGAGATCAAGTGGGGGGGCGGTGATCTATCCTAAAGAAGAAAACTATGTGTTTGGCTTCATAATATAAGAACTTAACAGTTTGCAGGAAAAGATATGAACATTGCGCAAAAGCCATTTTGCTTTCAAATTTTAAAGGCAAAACTGGGACTGCACATTGGGAGTGATAGGGCTATATGTAGCTGGTGGCATTGATTATGCTTACAGATGCTTCTTGTGGGCTCAGAAACGGGAGATGTAACTCGTGATCATATCTCATTTATCTGGATTGATACTATCAATCATGGAATCCTGTTGGATCATCCTGGGTATGGGAGGCACTGTGGTAACCTTATCTCCCAGAACAATTGTGATGATGAGATGGTAGTTAAGCCTTACTTTATGCACTTCCTCAGGGATTAGCATTTTCCCTGCTCCTATTTATAATCTTCACATGAGGCTTTAGAAGAAATAATATTAATATGGGGCTACATATCAATATACAGATGTTACCAGTTGACCTCTGGTGAATTAGGTGATATTGTGGTAAATCTGTTCCATTGCCATTACCCAAAAATGAGCCTTACAAAGCCCCCTCCCCCAAATAAATCCTAGTGAAGGGGGTGGGGGTGGCCAGCACAAGAGATGGCAAGCATACATGAGTTGACTGTCTGGCAGCAGCTTGTGCAGCCCAGGTGAGTTGATTACTTATCCAAGCAGAGGTGGAGGGAGACACGCAATTTGGAAAGCCATGTGGGTCGCGAGAAAGCTGAGAGTCGAAGGGCCAGAGTGGGCAGGTGACCACGAGAGGTTCATCTTTGAGTCTCTCGGCTTGCCTGCAGCATGTCAAGACTGCCTTCTTTCCGCGCCTCTGCCTCCATCTGCTGCCAGTGCCGCCATGCGAAGCCCAGCCCATCAACTCGGCTTTCCCGCAGCACATCTGGATTGCCTGCTTCTCTCTCCTGCGCCTCTGTACATCTGCTGCTTGTACAGGAAATCAACTCACCTGAGGTGCACGAGCTGTGCAATCCCAGAGTGTGCCGACCAAGTAACTGGCAGGCTGCAGGTGCTGTGATACTGTCGGTCACCTCACGCTTGCCACCTCTTGTGAACACGCCAGGGGCAGGGTGCCCAGCCAGACTGATCACCCTGAAATTGTGCTTCCCTGAAAATAAGCCCTAGTGCTTACTTTGGAGCCCAAAAACATAACACCAGGTCTTATTTTCTGGGAAACACTGTAGGTGTTAGATTATGGATGGGAAGAAACTAACACTAACAAAAGCAAATTATTTTGGATTCAAGCACTTTATATTTCTGGAGATTCACTAGGAAATGCACTTTCCTATAAAATTTTGTGCATAATTTGGGAGTCCTCATGCTGCCATTACTTAAGCAACTGAAACCACAGCTTGAAGAATGTTTGCGTAGATGCATCTGGTGCATAATCAGGATGTCCTCCTCCAAGTCACTCATGACTTAGTCACCTCTCACTTGGACTGCTTTACATGGGATTCCATCTAGAAACAAGAGCTTAGTCCAAAATACAGTGGCACAAATTTATTTAATGTATTTATATGTCACATTTACATCCCACTGCAGTTTTATGTATTTCTGGTTGCAGTTCAAGATATTGGCTATTAATTGTAAAGCTCTGCATGACTTGGGACCTAGAAACTTACAGGACTGCCATTCTCCAATTAAGTGATCTCATATTATGGGACTTCAGAAACAAATCTGCTTTGTGGCTGCCTCTGCACCCTTATAATAGCATTCTTCAAAAAATTTGCGTTGATCTTGGGAGTAGATTTGTGGACACTCTTCGAATATTGTCTTAATTTTGGTTGATTGTGGAGTTTTGCTTCCCCAACATGCTTCCATATTTCTTGTATTACTTTTGCCCTTGTCTATTATTTTAAATTGCATTCATTTAATGTTGTACATTACCTAGAGGCCCTTCTATGGTTAGGCAGCTTATAGGTAACGCTTGAGTGGATGAATGATACTGCCTGCCCTGTTCTCTGTGTGCTGCTTGGGGAATGTAAGCATGGGTTAACTTTGTCCATTAGCCTTGAGACTGAGTTATGCAAATTGCTGGCCACGCCTCCTCTGACTGGACTGGTTCAGTTTTTTTAACTCAGTCCAGCCTAAAGAGACGCAAAATAATTCGCTCTAGGTTACTAGATAGATTCATCATTATTATTTCACAAATTCATCATTATTATTTCAGAAATTCATCATTATTATTTTCACAAATTCATCATTATTATTTTCACAAATTCATCATTATTATTTTCA